GGTGATGATGTGCAGAAGCGCCCCTGGTGCGTCCTGGGAAGTTGGGTGTGCCGATGTGCTAATGCGGCCAGCCGCCATAGCAAACATTGATATTTAATAGGGGCGGTCTGGTGAATATATATAACCTTGGCTGCGCCAAACAATATTAATATCACATCCCCACTGCATAATAATAATTACTTGCACGTGCACGAACTCATATTCCATTCGCGCGCTCGCGAGATACTTAACTTTTATGTGCGCGTGGCACGAGCAAACAAGTGAATGCACCCCCGATTTTTATATATATATATATAGATAACCACATAGGAATAACATGTTGTTTTCACTCGGGCGGGCCATAGGTAAATGGAACGACTACCGCCGCTTAGCTAACATATAGCTGAAACGATATCAAGACAAATCGTGTGAGGGGTGTGCCAAAGTGAGGGAGAGGGTGGGCGCATACGTCCTGTCTTACTGGGGCCTTCAATGGACCTCCCTATGGGGCCACGCCGTCATTGCATTATGTTAATATTGTTTGCTTCTGGCTCGCATCTTCCGGTTTCACCGTTTCACCATATCCGATATGGAACTTTGTGGCCCGCTCTGGGCGAAATTGATATTGGCCGTGCGTCGACACGGCGTTGTGCTGAATGGGGAGCCCTGCATCAACGATGTCAACGGCTTTGTCTCCGCTTTCAGCACCGACGTTGATGTAGGTTGTCTGGGCTGAAATAAGAACTAAGCCTTCTGGAAATATTCAAGCGCTACGCGCTTTACTTCACCTGGACGTGTTGCTTGTCTTGAGCGCTGCGCGCTTCTGCACCTCTTGAGCTATGATATGCTATGATGCGCTGTGCTATGCAATGCTTTGCGGCTCACGTCATAACCAACCCGAGTTTGTTTCCTCACCCCAAGGTTGGCTGGATGAGCATCCTGTCCAAAAACATGTTCTGCTTCGGGGGCGTTCACTCGGGCAGGGGAGAGCAACGTACGATTTCGACGTCATACCACTGATATTACAAGTAATTGGAATCAGCATGTCTTCTCATCAATGGGTGTTTGTTCGTCCGCACCTCGTGTCAAAAATATCTGGTGCAGACCTTCCGGCTTCTGCGGGCGGTGGAGGTGAAGGTCAGGCTGTTGTTGCTGTGCCTTCGTCGCCTCAGATCTCCAAGATGACCATCATACCCTTCCGAGTGCGTAGGCAGCTGGGGGACTTAAAGAAGAAGTTCGACGCGGAGACCAAGAGGAGACAGCGGCTTGAGAGTAAGCTCAAGAAGGCGAATGCCAGAATCAATACGTTGGAGCAAGAGCGACGACAACAGTTGGTTCCAGCTCGTAGCAACAACCAGTACTACGATAAAGTATCTGCGTGGCGCGGCATATGCATTGGAATACGTAGGACCTTATGTAATGTAGCTGCGAGCCGAGTTGGTCTGAGTTGGGGTTTTGATATGCATCATTCGACTGTGTGCAGGTGGGAAGTCAAAGCGGGATCATGTTTGAAGGCCTCGTCTAAGCAATTCCATTTCAGCATGGAGAACGACTTGAAATATGACAAAGAAGCTATAGACATGTTCATGGATGATTCCAATGATGAGCTGGACACATGGTTTGTTTCGACAGGTTGGTCATTCCATCGCATCAGGTGCGATGCGACCAATTCGGCTGTATGGCAAAAAGTCAAACTACACGGCCTTGAGCTCCGCAGCATCTACGCGTTTACCAAGGAGAACTACGACATGAACGAACGGACCCAGTTTGCAGACCTTCTCATCATCCAGGACAGCAGTGCGGCCGGAATCAAGGCTCTCATTGATAAGCAGGTTCGATGGGTTGAAGGGTGGAGGGGTTGGAAGATTGGAGGGGGGAGGGGTCTGGAGGGGTTGAGGTGGAGGGGTCTGGGGGGGGGGAGGTGGGGGGCAGTGGAGTATTGGAGAGGATGGAGGTTGAGGCCTATGCCAAAGGGTTGGATTGGGGAGGAGGAGGAGGAGGAGGAGGAGGAGGAGGAGGAGGAGGAGGAGGAGGAGGAGGAGGGGGAGCAGGAGGAGGAGGAGGAGGAGAAGGAGGAGGAGGAGCACAAGAGGGTTGGTTGAGTGGTTGGAGGGTTGGTTGGTTGGTTGGTTGGCTGGATAATGCAGGGTTAGAGGGACTTTAGGGTCCCTAAAGTCCCTCTTACCGTGCATTATCCTAAAGTTTAGGGAGGGTTGCAATGGTAGGATGGAGGGCTCGGGCGTGTGGTCCAAGCAGGTCTCCGGGCTTGGCTGCCCCCTCTGGGACGATGCTGTCGAAGATGGTTCCATCAGGGCCTACGTCATGTGCACCGATGCTGGAGGTGACATTCGCGCGTCCAGGAAGCTTATCAGCGCTCAGATCGCCGATGTGGAGAACGCAATGCTTTTCGATATCGATTGCTTGATGCACCAGTACCATCTTTCAATCCACACATTATTGGTCGCTGCGGAACTTGTCCTAAGAGTCTTGCCAGCCAATGCTGATGGGAAGCGTGTGAAATATTTTACGTCCATCCAGAAGGTGATGAACTGTTGGCGCGACAACGCTGCAGCTGTGTATTGGACTTGGCAGTATGTTAACAAAGTTGAAGCTCACACGCATGCTAGGAATATGCCTCCACGCTGCATGCCATCGCGGTGGGGGAGTAAAGACGAATGTGAAAAGAAACTTTTGAATTTGCCGCGCGAGAACTTCATTAAGGTATTCGTGCATGTCGTTTCGAAGCAGGCCAAGCAAGCCATGAAGAAGGATGACGGTGATCTTGCTGCAGCTTTAGGGGCTATCATGGATTTAGATTTGGTCAACCCAGAAGGGCTTAGAGAAGAAACTATTCACTCTATGAAAATGTCGCGGTGGTGCAAAGACAGCGTCGAAGCTTTGGTCTCGAAGTCGTGGTGGGTCGTCATGAGGGCCATGCACGATATTTCTGATCCTTGGAACCATTTCCGTCGTTACCTGCAAAGTCACGAGAATAAGATCGCAGAGGCGGAGTTCGCAGTGGGAACGCTTGCACATCTGGTGTTCGGCAAGATTGAAGTATTTCGTAAAGATATTGAAGCTCTGACAGAGACTGCAACGTGGGCAGGTGATTTCTTCGACACCCTCCCTGGAACCCTCATTCCACACGTTTACTTGGTGAGGGCAGTTCTTGGGGAACTATCATTGACTAGCTATGTGGAGTTTGAACATCGTATATATTGTCGCGTGGATTCATACCCAGCTAAACTTCTGAAGCTGGCCAAGCGGCCGCACCATGAAACGTGTGACGAGCGGGCTGCAGTTGCCCGGGACCTCTTATACCCAAGAACACGAATGGATCACACCACCAAGAAGTTCGTAAAGAAGGCCAGGACTGCGCTGCAGGAAGCTATTGAATCTGGACGTTTAGCAGAGGACGTGTGGAAATTTCTCCGAACACTGGGGCGGCTATGGCGACCTGACACAGAGGAGTTGGAAGGCCTCAACAGCATAGTCAAAATGGGAGTCAAGGCCGCGCCTCACATATCATTGGACTTACTTTCGACCCGAACTGTTGTGTGCAAAGCAGTGAGCACCACCAAAACTCCTGGTGGGCAAAGGACTTTAAAGTGGAGCCATTGTCATGATAAACTACTGGCCCTGTGCGACACGTTGTTGGACAATTACACATTGGGAAATATCGTGATGAAAGACGTTACCCGCTGGGCAACTCCATCTGCAATTCCAGTGCCTTTGCCTGCGGCCGAGGGGGCCGCGCCGCTGCCACCGCAGCCGCCGGGCGAGCATGACCAGCACCACCCAGAGCAGGGCGACGAACAATCTCAGGCACCACCACCATTACCACCACTGCCCCCTCCTGAAGAAGATCCTCCAGGTGATGCCGCGGATCGCCCTGGACCTCTTGCTCATGCACCCCTTGCGGAGCCGCCCGTTTTGGCGTCTCGCACCAACCTCATGTGGAACAGAGCTTGGGTTCAATTGCAGAAGGATCGCACATCGCTGGAGCGATCGCTCTTGCGAACTACACTTTGTTTTCGCGTGACGGCGACT